AGTGGTTAGAGATAAAATATAGGACTAAATGAGAGAAATAGTAATTATACTTTCATCAAGTATAGCAACAAACTTTTTATTTCTTCTAATTATTGCATTGCATTTTAAAAAATACCAATATTATGCCAATGTCATGTGTATACAAAACAATTTTTGCTGTTATAGTTGGTTAATAAAAATATTAAAAGTATAATGTTATAACTGGATAGATTTTTCAAAGTGCAATGCTTTAATAAGAAAAAAAAAATCAAAAGTAGAATATCGTAACTGACAAAATGAACGTAGGATATTATAATGCATAAACAAATGAAAGCATGTTATGTCTTGCATTTAGCCAAAGTATAACTCAAATCCACAGATATTTAGATAAATGGGTCGAAGTTGCACTTTCTAGACTTTATGGTTGAGTATATGTAACACAAGATGGGAGGGAAAGGAAGTGAAACAAGCTTTTGTAGAGCTAATTTCGATGATTAGATGAGGTGGGTATTTTGGTCTTTTGCACAAACGAGAGATGGATGGCAAGTCCAATGCACACCAAATATAATATAATGTATGTCATGTTTTGTCATGTCTATAATAAATTGGGCTTATATGATTCTAAATCAGCTACAAAAGAAGGAAATGAGCATACCAAAGATACAAATAGAAAGAGTGATAGAAAAAAGAGCATCTTGCAAATGATATCAAAGCTTCCATTAATGGATTCCCAAGCTAATGTAGCCATGCTCGGTGTGGCTACAAAGAGGAAGAAAACAGGTCTGAGATTAGACGGGATATGATTACTCCCTGATAACCTCTGGTAAAGCGTGATGAACACCACTACATAATGTATCATCCCAAATGTAAACAGACAAATCCGAATTTCCTTCCATCTTGTCTCATCTGCTACATGGGATGATAACGATGCTACCAAGTTCCCTATTACAGATATTTGGATCGTAGGGTTAGCCATGATAGAGAGAAACCGCTTCTCAGCCGTGAACCACTGCCCATAGACCTTAACATCAAGAGCCAACAATGGAACGATTAGCAACCACCATATGTATCCATATGCGTGCTTATCTGGGAAAATGAACAAAGGGGTGGACTCAAGTAACAGAAGCCATGAAATCGAAGGTGCAAACAAATAATTCATGCCTACATGGTGACGACATTCGGCTTTCACGAGGTCAAAGTGGAAAATGCATCTCATTATGTAGAGAAGAGAGAGAGACACGAGGGTGCATAGCGTTAGGCACCAGAAGACTGTGGAGGTGGTGGCGATAATGGTGTGGAGGTTTGAGGTCCGGTGGTGTTGGTTTATACTTTTCCAAAGTAAAGCTTGGGCACCAGCAGATATGCATATCCTGAAGTAGCCAGCATTGATCTTGATTATTATGGATGAATGCAATCTGTTTGAATCTTCCGTTGAGGGTTGTTCTTGGTTATTTTCCATAATGACTGGCTGTTGATGGTGGCTTACGGTGGTGTGGCAGTCGATTACAGATTCTAGTTTCCTCTGATCCACCATTGTTGTATGTTGTATGAGGATGCGATGTGCATTTAATGAGGGGAGATGATTTCCCATTAAGATCATCATCTGGTGGCTTCCATGCATGCAGACATCTGTCTCAAGAATGTGCTCAAAGCACAACGTGATTAGAAGTTAAAAACTCTTATGGAATTCAGTTTCAGATTGTGATTATAGAATTGGAAGATGTTTCCCATGAATCAAACTTGTTAATGAGAATCGTGTCTTAATCATGTTACCTGGATGTTGGGATGTGTATCCATGCAAAACTAAAATTGAAATTTGATAAACCATAGATGTTAGTTTAATTATAACAAATCAATTTTTACATATTATTCTGGATATTGTTAGCTAATGTTTGGGTAATAGCATATATTTTGTGGTTACTTTATATTAATTACGGTAGATTCTATATTTAGTCTTAGGGGGTGTTTGGCTTATCTTTTTGGGAGCCAAAAGTCCTTTTGGCAAAAGTTACAAAAAGTCAGGATTTCCTGACTTTTCCAAAAAGTCAGTTTTCCTTATATCAAAAATCAAAAAGTTGTTTTTAAAATGCTTTTACCAAACATCTTTTGTATTTTATCTTTTCCAAAAAGAACTTTTGGCTCTCAAAAAGATAAGCCAAACACCCCCTTAATTAGTTAGGTTAAATATTTCAGTTAAATTGTAATCAATTTGTAACCTTTTCTTTTTCAACAGAAAACAGTCAATGTTCTCTGTCTCGAATGCCATACATAATTTCTAATGAAGATATTATCCGAGTTGTAGGTATATTATATTGGATTTATGCTGAAGATGATGATATACTTTGATTCTTTTCAAATTCTCGCAATTAATAGTGTCTCAATGATAATACGATGGATCGATTTTTACAAATATGATATATCATGGTAATTATATGGGGAGATTGAAATATAAAAGGGAAAGAGATCGTTCTATGTCTCATCATCATACGTTTCTATTATATGTGTTAAGTGTTAACTTATCATAAATTGCACCTAATGGATATTATATTGGATTTATCGGTATAATCCAAAATCAATGTAACTTAAATAGCCTATTTTGGAACTTAAAAAATATGACATTCCAATGTCCAAACTTCAATTGTAATATGTCCATAGAAAGCCCTTGCTACAAAAAATTTAACCCAAAAATATTAAGGTTCATCGGAGTTCATATCATGAAGTTATAAAGACTAGTAGTCGGAAAAAAAAATGAAAATTAGACAATAGATAGATGATTTACAACTTTCTACTCAACCAAGCTGAGTCTTTAGCCCACTCGAATCACTAGAGTGTGGCTGCCCAATGCCCACTATAGTAGCATGTGAGAGCACATATGGGATCCATTTGGCTCCAAATTTTTTACAGCATGTAACTTACTCTCACATCTATAGTTGGAAATATGACAAACGATATTCTGAGATCATTTGACCACCAAAACAACTCATTTCGATTTAGTTTTAGGCATTTTCCACGTCTAACTATTCAAAGTGTAACATCCGGATTCCCATGTATATTATTTTATTCATTAACTCGAGATTTGTTGAGTGACTCGACGAGTGGTGCCTCAACTCGTCGTGTAGAGTCGCGACTGATGACGTGGATTAATGAGCGGACTCAACGAGTCTGTGAGTCGACTCGCCGAGTCAGCGCTGTTGATGGAAACCCTAAATTCTTGGGCCTGTGGCCTATTTAAAGGCACTTATAGCCTCATTTACTGCTACCCTTCCCTGAGAGCAAACCCTAAACGACCCTTGAGCTGTGAGAGAGAGTGCTTAGCTAATTGTGAGCTTTTGGTGCATTTTGTGAAGAGAAAGGAAGGATTGCAAGCCAAGGAACAAGAAGGTGTTGTTAGATCCGAGGTGGTTTCACTCCAGAACGTCTAAATGAGGTATTAAGCTTCACCATTCTCATTTCTTCATGTAGATCTTTTGTTTGTGGGAATCTAGAGTTTCTTCTCCCCAAAGATGAGGACCTTGAATGATTCATGCTCATAGAGAGAGATGGACTTCAGATCTGGGTCATGTAAGGTCCCTAGAATCCAGATCTCTCTGCTTTATTCAACCATGTTAAGTGATATTGAGTGAAAAAACCCTTGATGAGGTGAGATTTGGCTTTTCAAGCTCTTAATGCCATGCATGGACGTAAAGCATGTGACTTTACGTGATAGATGAGCCTTAGGAGTATAGATCTAGAGTTTGGGTAGGTTCCTTGCCTTGGAATCGTCTGATTAAGGTGAGAGTCTGAATGGACTCGCCGAGTCAAGGGGCTGACTCGACGAGTCAGTTAGGGTTTTCTGATTTAACTGTCGATGCTGTTACTCGGTGAGTTAGGGTTAAATCAGCGAACTGAATCACTTCAAAGAACGCGAAGAATCGACTGGACTCAGCGAGTCACTCGAGTGCACTCGGCAAGTCATGTCAATTTGGGACTGTTGACCTGAATTGACCATTGTTGACTTGAGAGCTTGACCAACATTAGTAATAGAAATTGTGGAGGGGTAAAATGGACTTTTACCCATTCCAAGAGTTGGAAAAGAGTTAGAGAGACTTGTGACGTAAGAATGAGGTTTTGATTAGAGATGTTTATAAAATGTGTTAGGCGGAGGCTAGTTCGGGATTTACGAGTACATGTTTATTACTTGCTGACTACGAGGTGAGTCTTTTCACTATAGTTACCATGAGTGGTATCTTGTTGTGATTGAGCAATTTATGTGCTATCTGTGTATTGTAATAATATGCATTATGTCTTGGTGATTTAAGTTGATTATTGTTGCTATGAGTTTACCGAGTTGGGACCGGAGGGTCCCACTGAGACACATTGACCGGAGGGTCTTACAGAGTTATAGCCTCGAGTGGCTAATTATTTGTGTGTGTGGTATTTTGGGGAACTCACTAAGCTTCGTGCTTACCGTGTTATGTGTTTCAGGTACTTCTGAGGATCGCGGGAAGGCTCCAGCTTGATTGTACACACTTGTTCGGGACCATGTTGAGGATTTTGGGATTTGATTCTAATTGGGAATGATGATGATCTTTGAGACACTTATGGTTTTTATTTATATGATAATATAACACATGAGATTTATGAGTTTTAAAAATGAAAAATTTGGTTGGAAATTTATGGTGTTACACAAAGCTTAAGTGTGTAGGGTGAGATAGATCATGTCGTTGATTGCAAGCAAGAACAAAGAGCAAATCAAGGGGATTTTGCTATTCAACTCAAGAAAACAATGTAAGAAGGTAAGTTCTTTCTTTTATATGGATTAAACTTGAAGATTATGGAATGAGCTCATGACCCCTAATTTTAGGATTTTATTATACTGTTAAATCAAGGATAGATAATCATGATACAAGTTCAGTAAACATGTTATTCACGAGAAATAACATGTATTAAACAATTTTACTTGGTTAAACAAGATTACTTGGTTGAATATTCATGAATCGAATTTGGAAGTATAAGAGCTTAAATGAATGCATTGTTTTATGTTCCTACAATTCATTAATTAGAGTATTCATGCAAAGCACCCATAAACATTGGAAATTTGTATAAATTGTGGGATATTATCATTATCCAAAGAAATGTCAAATTGGTTAGAAGAACCAAGTGACCAAGTTGATTATGAAAAGAATGTTGTTTATAGCTAAAAGTATTGATGGCTTATGGAAAAGTTAACGGGACAATTTTTAGGAATTGAAGTAGGAAAGAAATGGAAACAAAGCAAGGATCAAAATAAGTATTGTAGTTAACTGACATTAACTACTAAGGCGAGTACATGATGTTTTTCCTATTATGGGCACATTTCAACTACTTGAAATGTTGATTATGCTTTATGTGATTAAATGTTTGGAGTCAAATCCCATAAACATTTTATGATACTTTTCATTATTTTCATATGGTATATGTTGTTTGTTTATTCTTTTTAATGACAATTGGTATTGGAATTGTCTAGACATTTTAAGCCACTACTGGAATAACACCTCCTTTAGCAAATTACTGGCCTATCCCCTTATGGGATTCCCAATGTGGTAAGCGTTATGAAACAAGTGTTTACCTGAGAAGTTTTTGCAAAACCATATTCTAGCAAACTTTTTCTTTAAACTAAGTTTACAAATCATTAAGACACTCCTTAAGAGCTTAATTTGATGATTTTTTTTTGAAAAAAGTATTTTTCATAAATTTGCATATATGCACATTTTGATGTGCATATGTGTAATGTCCCAAACTTTCAACCAATTTTTTTTAATATAAAAAGTAAGTACAAAGCGTAGTGATTTTTCCAGTATGTTAGAAATAGTTTCCAATGTCATTAACTGCTTTGATAATATTTCTACTAATAGCAGGATCCTTTTGGGCTGCCTCATGACCCAAATAGCATAAGGAAATATAAATAAATAAGTTGTTAAATTATTAAGGAATTAATAAACTAATTAGAAATTATTTTGGTAATTAATTAAAATGTTTTAATTAATTAAAGGGCTTGAATATTAATTAATCAAAGGGATTAATTAGAATATTCTAGAATTTCCTAGATGTATAGGCACGAAGAGAATAGAAAACAAAAACCGAAAGTCTATGACACGAAGGGGCATACAGCTAGGAGTCATAGAGATCCGACTGTCAAAATAACTACTACGAACGCAAGAAACTACCCATAGACGTAGTCAGGAAGTGTATTACACTAGTCATTTAAAACAACACAAACTATGAAATCCATGACAACCGCTAGGTTAAGTAAATCCGCAACATTTCAAAAATCTCCCACTGTTTAGTTAGAAGTAGAACCCTGAGAAAACTCTACAAAATCCAACTAAGACAAGTCAAGTATCCAAACGTAATATAACCTAATAAGAAGGACCACCACATCTAGTACGAAACAATTTAGAAACAAGAAACCACAACTCGATGTAAACACATAAGAAATCTGAAAATAGAGACTACGAGATCGCAGAACAAAAAAGTAGAGGTTCAACGGAACCTTAGCACGATTGATCAATAGGAACTCTAGGTCTCCTCTTAGTGTAAAACAAAATAGAAATAAGGCTCTAAGCATGTAAG